TTCATTATTCTGACATTCTTTTACAATAGGATTCTCCATGTATCTTGAACGAAATGAAAATCTTGTACACTTAGACAACCAATTTCAATATATGTATAMAATYAAWTGAAATGAATACCATGAACATGAAATAATAAAGAAATCATGACTTGAGATGTGATTGGTCAATATCGGTTTCCATAGTTTGAACCTAAAGTGAAGAAAGAATGTGATTGATCAAGATCGGTTTCCATAGTTTGTACCATATGGTTGGTTTCTATTTGAACCAACCTCTCTCTCTCTCTATATATATATAGACTTGGGATCATGTGAGAGAGAAGGTTTTTCATGAGATCCGTAAGATCAATTCTCAACCATTGGATTAGATCTATAATTTGAACATTCATAATCACAAAATTGTCACGAGACTTCTCAATAATCACAAAATTGTCACCGTGCAACTTTAGACTATTAGATCATTAGCTTATAAAGTTGATCAATGAACATAAATTGATCTTACGGGTCTCACGAAAAACCCTTGATCTCACGTGAACCCAACCTTATATATATATATATATATATATATATGTGTGTGTATATATAGGTAAGGGATCATATGAGAATGAGAGTTAAGGTGAGAAGAGTAAGAAGAGATCTAATCTCAAACCCACCCATGAATCGCTTGATATGTAGATTGATCTTGGTACATCTCATTCTCACTAAAACCCAACCCTACGTATTAATTGTTTAAAAAAACTGAAGATATTTAACAAAAAAATAAAAATATGATACTTAACTTGTATTTCATTCGGTAAAAGTTAAACATAATCCCGAAATTCTTAGAAAAAAACACCTAACCCTAAATAAAAAGAAACAGAAAACACAAGTCCCCAAAATAGTAGTTTTTTACAGCTTCTTGTTTTCCTCCTTCATTCATGGCATCTTCTATTAACTCAATAAATGCTTCTGCCCTCTTCTTCCTTTTCCACTACTGCTGTTGTGGAAAACACAAAAAACAGAAACAAAAAAAACAGAAACAAAAAGAAGAACCGAGTGGTTAAGCAGCAGCAACTGCACCAGATTGAAAAGGGTAGTTCTTGGAGGTCTTGTTTGGAGAAGAAGCATTCGGTTGTTTCTCATTCTCTTCTTTCTTTCTCAGAGATCTCATTGAAACAGAAACACTCCACTTCTTCTCTTTGTCTTCATCATCATCAATCTGTTCTCTTCTACACTCTTCACTACAGAAAGCTGTATCACCTCTGCAAATACACAAATCAGATTCTTGAATCACCATGAAATCAACAAATCTCACTTTGATTCATCAGAAATGAGGGATACAAAGTAAAAGTTGTCATCTTTTTTCATTAAGATCTAGTAGAAAAACACACACAGAAATATATCTATATATATATATATATATAAATCATGGGTTTGATTTAGAATTACAAGTAGAAACTGTTGAGCACCTGTACATGAAGATATCTGTGTTACCATCAAGTAGTTTTTTGCAAAGAAAACATGCGTCTAAGAAATAGGGTTGTTGATCTTCAAATCTGCCATTAAACCCCCTTCCAGATCTTGGAGATGAAACATGGGAAAGAGAGGCATAGATATTTCTGGGTTTTGGTGAACAAAGAGGTCTTGAGAGGAGGTGGTTATGGTGGTTTTCCGGTGAAGAAAAGAAACCATGGTTGGCGGCAATGGAAGCAAGGCCGTTGTCGTCTTCAAGGAAACAAGGTTTTCTTGTGCTTGTAGACTCCATTTTCTTTTTTACTTGAATTCAATTCAATTGTCTGAAAGGAAGACACCCTTTTATCCTCATTTGGAATTAAATCAACTTACACTCTACCCCTTATACTTGTTGTATTTGTTACATTACTACCTTTAAGTTTATAAATGATACCTTATTCCTTCACTTGTTTGCATATATGGGTGTTCGTGGCTTGGATTGGATGGTTTTTAATATTTTTACAACTTAACTCAATCATGACGGTTTGAAAAATCTCAACTCAACCTATTCAAAAATACAAACTAACCCAACCGTTGTGGGTTAGGACAGGTTGGGTTGACAGGTTAGTAATACATAAAAACATCTACAAATTGTCATACTAAGATAAACATATTATTTTTCACATAATTATAAACACATCCAGAGTCCTTTTTTGAAACATACTTCATATGTTCATTTATGCAATGAAAACATAAATTTATAGAAAGAAAAGAAAGCGACTTTTAAACATTTGTGGTTCCAGCTTTCAAAAGCATCTATGCAATAGAGAATCATATATTAAAGTGCATATCGGTCATTGACATCATAGAAACGCTCGATCTAGTCGTTTTCAGTGCACTCTTGTTAAGAAAATAAGGGTGGGAAATGGAATTCAGGTGTACCGATTGATTACAGGATAGCTCATAGAACGCCCTACCTAGTTGAATTAATTTTAGAATTTGGGTTGTAAATCGAACTAATGTATGTATATATTTTTTGGGTTGTAAATTATAATGACTATAAATATTACACATACACATTAGCAGCGGGTTGGCAGTTTCGTTGGGTTGAGTTATACTAACCCAATTTCAACCCTCCTAATTAGCAATTTTGCAGTTTGACGATTTCAAGGGTTGACCGTTTGGCAGTTTGGGTTTTACGAGTAGACAGTTTTTTTACACCCCTATTTGCATGTAAATATAGATCTACAGTATGCTTGTATATGACCTTGTCTGCTTGTTGACGTTTTTTTCTTTTCTTTTGAAGATTTGATTGTTCGAATTTCCATAATGTTGAATCTTGGTGTTTTTAAACACGAACATAATCAGTTAGATAAAACTTGAATTTAATTTCCATAACGATGATTGGAGTAATGAAATTAGATTTGTAACGAAGTAGAAATTTTCGATAATCATCTGTTTTGTAAAAGAGAATGTATATTATATAAAGGCAAATTGCATATAAAAACGTACTTTTATTCAATTTTTTATTTTAGATCACACACTTTTGCAGACTATATTTAATGGTTTGTAGCTTGAAAAACGATTACTGTTAAGATGTATTTTTTAGAGTTCTTGAGTTAGGTGTGTGAGATTGCTTATAAAAACAACTTATTGATTTATTCCGGTGTGGAACCGGTAATAAGCATTTTTGAGTGTTTGGATAAACAACTTATACCAGTGCCAAACCGGTAATAAGGAGTTTTTAAATAAGTTAAACCCTTCTGACTTATAATAAGTTGATAAATACTTTTATAAAAAGTCATAAGTTGTTTCAAATAAACATTTCTCTAAAAATCTCATAAGTCATAATTTTATTTCGAGTGAAGTTGAATTCCTTTACATTTCTTACCCTCAACTAACAAAATTATACTATTGTTTTAGATATAATGTTTTTAAGATTATTTATTATTGTTGAATGATAAAGTGTTTGTATTATTTTTTACATGAAAAAAATCATTACATTTTTCTCATATTAAATGATCAAGTCCCTGAACTGTTTTTTTAAAAACCATCAAAATTTATCATTTTAAATGATTAAGTCTCTAAATATATTTTTTGTAATAAATAAACCATCGAACTTTTAATAGTTGGTTATTTACATTCTTTTAACAAAAAAAAACTCTACCTGTAACCGACTAGAGAGGTCGTAAAGCAAAAAAAGAAACTTTTTTCGTTACTAAACTTTACACTCTTCAAACCCTTTACAAACAACAATATCACTTCCGCTTGTCACTCTCTATAACTCCATCGTTGTCCGTTTTTCATATCGTCTATCATGTTGTTGGCCTATGCTAGTGATATCCCTCTTTTTGATTAATCAAAAGAGGCAGAATCAAAAGATGAAAAAACAAATAAAAAAGAGTGAGATCGATGACAGTGGCAACAACGTGATAGTCGATATGAAGAACAAACATCGATGTGGCGACAAGGAGTGATGAATGGAGTGATATCGGTGTTTGCATGAGTTTTGAATGGCGTAGGATTTGGGAACAGTAAAATTGATTTATGTACAATTTTTTTCTTCTAATTTTGGACCTTTCTAGTCGGTTACAGGTAAAAAATTGGGTTAAAATGATGTAATTAACCAATTCTTAATAGTTTGATGTTTTGTTTTATTTAAAAATGTTCAAGACTTAATCATTCAAAATGAGAAAGTTTGATGATTTTTTCATTCAAAAAATATTTAGGGACTTAATCATTGAAAATTATAAATTTTAATGGTTTTTTCATCCAAAAAAATAATTTAAAAACTTAATCATTCAAAATGAGATAATTCGTTGGATTTTTGGTAACTTTTCCTTTCATGTTAATCTTAGCTTGTCATTTATTAAAAAGATAAATAAATAAAAATATTGATATTGATACTAACATATTATTTAATAATATTAATAGTAATATAAACATTTATACTATATTATAAAACATTTGACAAAAACTCTTAAAACCCATTTTTTATGCATGAAGTACTATTTATTGATGCATATTATTTAAACTTAAATATTACAAGTAAATTGTGCGTAAATACAACTTATTAAAGCTCCATGTTTGAATTCGTGTAATTAATTGTAGATAAACATAATCAAATAGAAGATAAACTTCTCATTTTATAATATAGAAAATCTAAAATATAATTAAGATAATTATTGAGTTATAACAAAATAATTAATTATTATATTTATAAAAAATATTATTAAATCAAATATAAATTACTTCGTTATTAAACCTAAATCTATACTATCTTATAAAGCATTTGTTAAAACTCTTAAAACTCTTAAACTCGTTCATCCCTAT